TACAGGGTAAGGAGATATTGATGAGTTATAGGAAAGTTGTGCTGCAGTTATCCTTATACAATGGTTAGTTTTCTAGTTCTTCCAGAGGAAAACTGGCTTGATTTCAAGACATTACTATGATCAAAAATACTTGTCCGATTGAGCTACTCTTTCTCGTATGATACGTCTATCTAAAAATGTTATTCTATGTGGAAAGTATGGACAAAAAGTTGAAAATTCAAAAAATCAAAAAGATATTTTTTAGTTGAAGATCTTCGAAAATTAATAGAGAAACATTTTTCAGAGTTAAAATGGTTGCCACTTCGGAGAGGGTACTAAACTTGATATAGAAACATGTTTAACCATTAGAAACAGGTATTGGCTCCCGCGCACCCCGACAACGTTGCCGGTGGTACAACAGCATCGTGTCGTATTACAACGACCTTGAAGCTGGAACGGACCCGTCTAGAACAGCAAATGTTGACTTGCCTATCAAAAATTGTCTACTATGCAATCATGTTATTTCAGATTCAAATAACCTGATGAGGACTAAAATATCGATTGCGGATGTTTATAGAAACTTGCTATAAACATCAGCAGTCGAGTGTTTACAAACAGTGGCGTATTATTCAAAAATATATGTGTCTCGACAAGGAATCGTGTGCTATGTTAACAAGCTAACATCATAACATAAAATAAAGTTCACAGTAAAGAAAAACAAGGAAAAAGTATTTGTATTTAGGCAAAACATGATCAAGACAAGCCGGTACCGGTACGAAGTTTGTATACCGATGACCGGTACCGGTATCGCATTTTTGATACCGGTGACACTCATGAACGGAATAAGGTAATAAAGACAGTATAGTACTGAAGGCTGCGATTTCGCTTTGGAATGTAGTTTTCATGGATGATAGCACTTTCGTTACATAGAAAAAAGAACTTTCATCACACGTGACGAAAGTGTATGGTAGTTTCACGACCCCACACTTTGGTCACAAAAGTGGTGTACTTTCGTAACCAACTGTGTAACATATCTATAACTATTGTCACACCCCATCGCGAACTTTCGTCACAACTGCTTCCGTTTAGACTACTCCAATTTGGACTGCTGCAGTCTCCACTACTTGAGACCGAACTACTTTCAAACGCAATAGCCATTTGATTTTGATACCTTGACTTTAAAAAAAGACTTGACTGTTTCGCTTAGGAAATACAATGTTTCTAAACGAAAAAGCAAGAAGTTATTACTCCAGTTTGCACTGTTTCAGCTTGTATTACTACAGTTTGGGCTAATGAACTTTGCACTACAACCCTGATTGCATCCCAGCCGTTTCATACAACGTATGACGACAGTGCCATTCTGTCTAACAGCCCGACACTTTCGACACAACCGAAAACGAACTGTCGTAACACGCAGAAAGAACTTTTGTCGCTGGAAAACAGAACTTTCGTCATGTGACGAAAGTTCAGCGTTACCTGATGACGAAAGTGCTACGAACGTTGGCATCTCCCATTTTCAAGTCTTTTAAGTATTTTGTTTGTGCTTGGACAGATAAACACGTTCGATTTGACTGTGAATTGGTAAGTACTTAGAAGACTACTAGAATTATACGTCAGTTATGTCTGCATATGGGCAAACTAGGTTGATTAGACAATTGCACTTAGACAATATTTCTTTATATTCTTGTACTAATTTTCTCTCGCTTTGATTAACAGGTAGGTTCAAATGTATTTCGAAAACTGCTAAACTTAAAACAGATAAGAAGAAATATTTTTCCAATGTTTTTTTTGTGTTGCACCAAATGCTTTGTATCCAGATTGTGGGATCGAATCATGAAATATTGTTTTAGTTCTTAATCTTTTCAACAATCTGATCGATATAAGGTTGTTCAAGAAAATTTTAAATTTTATCGTTCGTCGGAATTTTTTCAACAACCATCTGAGGAATTAGTTTATTCCAGATCATTTCTTGTTCTGGATTGTTGTTGATAAACAAGATCATTTTTTGTGCGTGGATAATACTGCTACAACAATCATGAGTATTTAATTTATCATTGATATACTTGTTTTGTAGTCTAATTAGTATATTAATAACTTTTATAGAAGCATCTAACTGAAGAGGAGCAGAAGGATTTAATGATGATTGTTCTTCATGATCGCTAGAATAAATAGGATCAATCAGTATAAAAGAATGTATATCAGAATGTGAATAATTATTTTTTTGTAATTGTAATATCATTTCATACGCGATTAACGCTCCAAATTTATATCCAATAAGACAATAGGGCCCACGTGGTTGTATACGTCTCATTTGTGCCAAATATTCTTCGGCTATTTTTTCGATTGTTGTTAATTTGTTATTCATCATAGCATCATTTGTTTCTTCTATTGAATGAAAAGCATATATCGCTGTCGAGTGATCTTTCATTTCAGTTGTAAATTGTTCAAATATTGATATTGGTGTCGATATATCATTTAAGTAAAAGAAGATGGGATTGGGTTTATTTCTGTTTTCCATTGAGGATTGATATACTGAAGCTATTAATGAAATGCTTGTGTACTGTTGATTTTTATCTGTTGTCGCTGACGGTGATCGATTCGTGTCTTCCACCCGTTCTACTGTTTCGTCTATGTCAGTTGATTCTTTTGTCTTTGATGATGACGAGTTCAACAAACGTTCATTTAATTTTCCATGAATATAATGTCCAAGTTTAGTTAATGTCGCACCTTGTAATACTTCACTTAATGGTATATTAATATTTAATTCTTTTTCTATCCAATTATAAAGCGCAACTCCCATTAATGAATCCATTCCTTGCTGAACTAACGATTTATCTACATCAATACGATCAACAGTTACTGAACCAAAAATGCTTGCCGTAGTCGCACGTATTTTGTTAATAATTGTTTCAACATTCAGTATTTCGGATGACATTCTTGGAGTTTCTACATAAACATATTTTTTCGTTGCTAATTCAGTAATTCTTGCTGGCAATTGATCTTCTCTCGATTTTATAACTGACCACTTGTAAGC